TCTCCCTTTGACGGGGGAAATCAGGTGGAAATGAACATTGAAGGCAACTTTGAAGGGAGAAAGAAAGCTAGGAAAGGAAAATTTGCAAGCTTGGTGGATTGAGATGCAGAAAGTAGAGCACCTAGCCTGGAGCCAGGAAGACCCTGAGTTCAAATCCAGCCTCAGACACTTACCTAGTGGGCTATGGGTGATTGTGGTGGTGGTGGTGGTGATGATTATTGCTGTTGAGACATTTCAGTCACGTCCAACTCTTCATGGCCCCATCTGAGATTTTCTTGGCAAAGATACTGGAGTGGAGTGCCTCAGTTTCCTCATCTGTAAAGTGAGCACCAACCTTCCAGGGTTGATGTGTAAGTCAAATGAGATAATAATTGTAAAGCACTTTGCTTATTCCCCTTCCCCCTTTCGGTGGGTGGGCACGACGTTACCAGTATCACCTGCTTTTCCTTGACGATAGGTGGATGTTGTGAGCAGATTAGATCTCTGTGTGCCTCTGGTGTATTTGATCCTCAGCAGCCACTCCTAAATGCTGTACTTGGCTTCTCAAAATCACTTTCCTATGTGGTCCATGTACTAACCATTCCCTCAGTGGAAAGGGTTCTAAACCTGGGTCGGTGATAGATTTCAAGGTGTCTCTGAACTTGGATAGTAAGAAACTTCACCTATATCTCATGATAACTGGTTACCTTTGTAATCTTACGTATTCCATTTTATTAATTTAAATACAAGATTCTGAGAAGGAATCACCAGAATGCCCATGGAGCGCAAAAAAGGATAGGCACTCCTCATCTCTGGGTTCCTCAATGCTCTTTCTCAAAGGATCCCCAGGACAGCAAGAGCTATGGTTTGCACAGCTCAGGGGAGCAAGCAGTAGATTGGGAAAAGGAACTCCTACTTCTGATTCTGCCCCTAATTATACGTACCGGCCTTCGATGAATGTTGATCAAACAAAGAATAACTGGAGCTAACTCTTATTTCCATAATGCCTTAAGAATTTCAAAGAATCCTGGGATGTAAAATTATTACTGTCCTTACTTTATAAATGAGGAAACTCAGTCTCAGCAGAGTTACGTGACTTGTACATGGTCACATGGTTCAGAGGTGTTGAACCCAGATCTTCTGATTCCAAGTTCACCAGTCTAGCTATACTGTCATTCAGATATATGAATGAATCAGAACGGATGAACAAACCAACTCGCTGTGTGTAACCTTGGGCATGTTGTTTCAGTTCTCTGGTCCCCAGTTTTCTCACCTGAAAAATGAGAAGATTGGGACTAGATGACCTGAAGAGATGGACTAGATGAACATCCCTTCTGTGGCTGACACTCTTCTGCTTTGTGATCCTATGTTGGTCTCAATATATAGTTCTCTCCTACAATACTCCCACCATGGCACTGTGCAATGGTTTAAAGCCTTCAGATACTGATGTAATTCTAGGCAAAGATTTCCATGCATCTTCCCATATCTTTCTGTATCCTGGGTGATAGGCAAAATTATGTAGTGGAGAAAGTGCTAAGCTTGGATTTAGGAAGCCCTGGATTCAAATTCTGCCTGATACTTGGTAGATATGTGACAATAAGCAAGTCATTGAGCCTCATCATGGTTTAATTTCCTCAGCTATAAAATGGGGTTAATACAGCTGTAGTTCTTACTTCATAGAGTTGTTGTGAGGGTAAAAAGAGACAACGTATGTAAAGTGCTGTATGAATGTCAATTTTGAATGACTTGTTCAAATTCCCCCTTTCATCTATGAATGAGATTGTCAGCTAAGATTGAAGTTCAGGCTTTCTGTAATGAAAGAGGAATTCTGCATGTGTATTTAGGAGATAAAAAATCATCAGAAATATTCTCCAAACTCATTATAACAACCGATTTTATAATTATACATATATAATCCGTATTTCATATATGTGCATGTGTGTATAAGTATGTATGTAGTCATTCAGTCACATCTGATGCTTCATGGCTCCATATGGGGCTTTCTTGGCAAAGACAATAAAGTAGTTAGCTATTTCCTTCTCCAGAGGCTTAGACGAACAGGTTAAGTGAATTGGTCAGAGTCACACAGCTAGTATGTGTCCGAAGCCAGATTTGACCTCAGGTCTTCCTGGCACCAGTTCCAGTACTCTATCCACTAAGTCACTTAGCTTCCTCCTTTCATGTATGTATGTATGTGTGTGCATCCGTATGTGTATGTATGTATATATGTATACACACATACGTACAGACACGTATATGTATCTATGTTGAGTATCATAAGGCTTTAAAACATTGGACAGTGTCATGACAGGGACATTGTGAGAGAAGACTGTATATTTGAGGACCTCTGTGTGTGTGTGTGTGTGTATACAATGTATATGTGTGTGTGTGTGTGTGTGTGTGTGTGTATATATGTATGTGTGTATAATCAGAGCATGCCCTAAGGATTGGATTCTTACCCAATACTGTTGTCTTCACTCCTACTAAGCTATAGAGTGTTATGGTTACTACTTGTTTGACTTCAGGCAAGTCCCTTAATTTCTCTTGACCTTAGTTTCCTCATCTGTAAAATGGAGGAGAGAGTGCCTTAGCTGGCTTCTGAGGACCCTGGCTAGATCTATGACTGAGCCTATGACTGAGCCTTATTCATTGTTTCCCTCACAGAATCTAGAACGGGAACTTGCTGCTCTAAAAACATTGGAAGGGCATTATGGAATGGGTGGCAGCTACTTGGGGCTCATAGATGTACTCCAGAACTTGGCTGAATTTGTACTTTATCTCCAGAGAAGCTAACAGTATTGTAAAGAAAGACTGAGACTCGAAGCAATGATCACTGGGTCATACCTGCCTTCATTTGGTTTTGAGAATAGCCATGTGATATAGTCAAAAGTTGGTTTTGGGGGCAGCTAGGTGGCGCAGTGGGTAGAGCACCGGCCCTGAAGTCAGGAGTACCTGAGTTCAAATCCGGCCTCAGACCTTGACACTTACTAGCTGTGTGACCCTGGGCAAGTCACTTAACCCCAACTGCCTAAAAAAAAACAGAAAAAAAAAGTTGATTTTGGAGTAAAAGGGACCCAAGTTCAAATCCTACTTCTGACACTTGCTACCTTTATGACCTTGGGCAAGTCACCCAACTTCTCTTAGTCTCAGTTTCCTCATCTGTAAAATAAGGGAATTGTGCCAGATGGCCTCCGTGGGCCCTTCACATTCTACATCTGTGATTCTATGATGCTTCAGTTATGTGCCCCCATGACTTATGGAGGACAGATCAGTCATTGTGGATAAGTGATTGTGACTCTCACATTTAAATATTGTCAAAGAGATATTTTATTTGCCCCTGAGCCTCTCACCTCCAACAGCCGTTGTTTTAGCTCTTATCGTCCATCAGCTCTGCTCACACTGGAAGATTTGGAGTAAGTCTGCCTGGTTCTAATCTGTGATTTCACCACAGTGCTAATCTCTCAGCAAAGAAATTCCTTCTCTTGTGCAGATCAGTAATGTAGAAGGTTGTTTGGGCCACTGAGAGGTTGCAACTTGCCCAGAATCACTTATGGAATAAATCTTGGGAGCAAGGTTTGAACTAGGTTTTCTTGACTTTAGGCCCAAAGCCATAGCCACTATCCCACACTGCCTCTCTTTGTTAAAATGTATACAAAGTTGTATAACATATCATAATTAATACATTATTTAATTAATATAGAATAATTAATGTTATTTTATTATTATATAGGATCAATATATTATTTAATATGATTAATGTTAATGTGATAATATATTTAATGATAAAATAATATTTAATAATATAATATATTAGAATATGTTACATAAAATTACCAACTTCTCAAATGTTAAATGCCAATATAGTCATCATTTAAAGCATTTCTGAAAGTGCTCCAAACAAACATCTGATTCTTTGTACTTACCAAGATATTTCCATGGCATGGTCAGTGAAGATAGTAGATTGACGCTTTGATGTTCCAGGAAGGAATAGCATATGTGTAATGTTGTGTAGTTTCATCATCTGGCCTCTCTGATAATGGCACAGATAGACCATAGGTACAAGAATGTCTTCCTGGGTATGAGGCTCCCAAGACGGATAATCATTTTAGACTTTGGCTAATCAAAAGTCTTAACTTGAATAGATCAATGGGGAGCTTTTAGTTGTTTTGAAAAAGACGGACTATGCGTTTCAGGAAGAGAAGCTCCTCAGATAACTTTTCTAATGCATAAGGTCACAGGTTTGTAGGGGGGAGGGAGGTGAAGGAAAGAAACAGAGGATAGGTGGAGGGGGACAGAGGGAGAGAGAGAGAGATGAAAAGAGCGAGCAGGGGAGGGGGAAGGAAGAGAAGGAGAAAGGGGGGAAGAAAGAGGAGAAGAAGAGAGAAAAGGAGGGGGAGAGAGACCAGGAAAGGGGAAAGAGAGTTTCATAATTGGAAGGGATCTCAGCAGCTGGCAAATCCATTGCCTCTTACTTAAGAGTTTTGAGTGATGCAGATATGTGGAAATCAGAATTTCAGGAAATCAGAGAAAGCTTCGAGAAGAGAAGACAGTTTAGCCACAAGAATTTGGCAAGTTGTATGAAAGAGGGATTAGAAAGAAGTTTACTCAGCTCCAAAAGTTAGAACTAGAAAGTAATGAGCTGAGCTGTAGAAGAAAACTGAGGGGGCGTGCCTGGAAATACTCACAATTAGAGCGGACCAGAAATGAATGGAGCAAAGCATTTTGGGAGGAAGTGCCTTCTCCCTCCCTGGAAGTCTTCAAAGACCGATTGGGCACTTGTCGAGTTTACCATGAAAGAGATTCTGATTCTGGTGAGGTTGGCCTCAGGTCCCTTTTAACTATGACAAAAATTCCGTAACTTCTCGTCAGGACTTCCTTCCTGGTGACTCAGTTTGTCACCCAACAAATAATGGGTACAGTACAATTCTGATTTCCCAAAATTTCCACCCAGTTTCCTGTCACTCCCTAACCCACTCCACACCCCAATTCCTTCCTGTTAAGCTATAGTCTAATCCCCTTACCTGTTTGACCAATTGTCCCACTATAATTCTGGCTTATCCTTCATGTTCTTCCCGTCGCCCAAATAGCTTAGATCACCTGGAAGAATAGGGGGGTAGAGGAATAGAGGGGAAATAAGAACTCCCATATGACTCAGGCTATCCCTGCTTCCTCCCCCTTTTCTGCACATAAACAATTTGGGACTGTATGCTACTCCTATTGCTAAAAGACAACCCTAACCAGCATAAGTGAAGAAACTGGAAGAAATCAAAACTAGCAGTAGAAGTACCAGTGAGAAATTTCAAGCCTGCAATTACCCCCTTTTGGAGCCCCCACTGAAGTCCAAGGAAGGCTCTGGTGCTGAATAAGGTCGTAAGAGATCCACCATTAACTTTTGTTTTCAGCAGCCTTGAGTTTAGTTGAAAAGGAGGCGTTTCTAACTCTTGAACCAAGGTTTGTGTAAAGTGTTAATACATCATCTGAGAAAGGCCTGACATTCCACCCTATCCTTTGAACTCCTTCCCATAAACAAAAGCTTGAAAGACACAGGCATGTGGGACTGACCTTGATGTTTCTGAGAGTGTACAGGCAAAGATTACATTGTTTGGGAATCAACTGGGAAAAAAAATGGGGAGTAGGGTGGGAGAGAGAAAAAGAAGAGAGAGGGAGGAGAGGAGGCAGGGAAAGATGGAGAAAGAGAGGGAAGGAGAGAGAAAAAGGGAAGGAGGAAGAGGAAGAATGAGATAAAGGGAAAACCATTTAAATTCCTACTATGCCAGGCACTAAGTACTGAAGATGTAAATGAGAAAAAGAAGTGTGTGTGTGTGTGTGTGTGTGTGTGTGTGTGTGTGTGTGTGTGTGAGAGAGAGAGAGAGAGAGACAGAGACAGAGACAGAGACAGAGACAGAGAGACACACAGAAAGAAAGAGAGAGAGAGAAAAGAAAACAGTTGGGATTTTTTCCAGATATGGAAAGCTTTCAGAATTCTGTTGGCTAATGAGGAGGCTATTTCAGCAGTGGGTATAAAATGTTCCTCAGAGACAGCATTCCCTGATAAACTTCCATTAACACACTTGGCTGAATTTATCTGGTTTTTATCTGTGACATGAATAGATGCAAAGGGAGGTGTCTTGGAAGGATTTGAAAAAAGTCTGGAGAGGTTTTCCTAAAATTTTAATATCTGGTCCTTGCCTTTATTAAAAAAAAAACAACTAAGAAAATAGGTCTGTTTAAAAAAAAAAAGAACATGAAAAGTTTCCGTAGCAGCTGCCTCTCTTCCTTAGTACTTTAGAAATCAAGACTTAAAAGAAAAGTGTTTGCCATCAGATTAGCTATCTTGAAAATTTCCTAATCTTTTATAGGTCTTAACAAAATTGAACCAAATGGAAACATGAATGATCCTTAAGCATGCATTCCTTTTCTAAGACAGCTTCTGTTTGAGCCAAATGTATAGTTACATACACACAGAAAGAGAGACAGAGACAGAGAAAGACAGAGACAGACAGAGAGAGACAGAGACAGAGATTGAGGCTAAGCCAAATTTTAGAACTCTTGGTGTATCAAATTGGAAAGTCATTCAAATCTCATCTTCAGGCTGTCTACCTTTTTCTTTTTGTATCCCTAGCACTTAACACAGTGGTTGGCACAAATGTTTTTTCATTCATTCATTCATTCATTCAGTGTTATTCACATTGTTACTGAATTACCTGCGTTGGTCATTGTCAATAAGGACACTGATATTGATAGTTTCCCCTGCAATCTGTGGCCTGAATAGGGATCTTTACATTTCAACGACTCCTGAGGTCGTCTTTCAATTGAGAATTATTCATAGATAGAGTACCATGGAATGTCAAGTTTGCCAAGATATGTGTTGGATAGTTTAATCCTACTTACTTTTTATGGATGAGTATTTGGTAAATGAAAAAATTCAACTTTAACATGGTGTTGGACAAAACATTTTGAGCATGTTCACATTCTACCTTGGAGTATGTTTTGCTCAGTCTGAAAAGTATGCTAAGCTCTGTTCCAATGACACTAAGCTTTTTGATTTTTTCTGGTTTCTGCTACCCACTTTTTCTGATCCTTGGTGACGTCTTCACGAGACCACAGTTGGTTGGATAATGAGGGATGTGATCAACCCATTATTTAGGAAGAGAAAATTGGTTTGATTGACAGGGTGATGAAACCAAGCCATTCTTAAGCCATTACTGCATGATCTGATTGATAGGGTCATTTAAATGCTGCAAGACCATATTTTTATTTTCCATTCTCATACAGAAAAAAAAAGCTAGCAAAATGAGCAAAACATACTCAATGACATTAATCTAGCTCACTCATCCTTTTATCTCAGTTTTCTATGGAACATCAAGGAGATCCATTCCTTGCATTCTGGTTACAGAAACATCGACTTCCTTCAGAGTTCTTTTTTCTCTCAAGTTACAAGGATCTCAGACTCTTTTAAGTCATAGTCTCAACAAGCACACTGTATCTCCCTACATTCTGGACATGGGGGCTTTGCTTTAGCATAGACATGGAGAGTAGGCACCTCCTTTCTTTCCTCTGTTTGGAACCCAAGATTTCAGGACTGGAGGACTTTATTACATGCAACCTTTACAGTTTATACATGATAAAAGTGAAGTACATGGAAGTGGAATAATTTGAGATTAAGCTGTTAGTTAATGGCTAAATTAGGACAGGGAAGCTAGGTAGTACCATAGGGCACAGAGTGCTGGGCCTGGAGTCAGGAACACCCATCTTCCTGAGTTCAAATCTGGCCTCAGACACCCACTAGCTGTGTGGCTCTGAGCGAGTCACTCAGCCCTGTTTGCCTCAGTTTCCTCATATGTAAAATGAGCTGGAGAAGGAAATGGCAATCACTTCAATTTCTCTGCCAAGAAAACCCCAAATGGGTCATGAAGAGTCAGACACAACTGAAAAATGACTTAACAACAACAAAACAAAAACCTGGACAAGAACTCCGTGATTTCCTGAGTCACCAGAATATGCCTCGAAACAAATCCAATTACCAATGGCGATCTGAATATTTTGAGAAGATAGCTGAGGAGAAAATACAACATTATTTAAGCTATTAAGAAATGAAGGTCTAATTAAAAGTAGTCTTCTCTTTTTATTTTCTAGGAGCTACCATTAAAAAGTGTGTATATGTGGGGGTCCTCCAGCTTTTAACATGCATAGACTGATAACGGTAGTTGGTAACTGCTTTATCTATTTTACGTGAGGCTCTGTAGCACAGTAGACAGAGAAAGCTGGTTTCTGCATCTGGAAGACAGCTCAAGGCCTGCTTCTGACACATAACGGTGGTATGATCCTGGGCAAGTTAATTCATCTTTTAGCACTCCAGAGAATTCTCTAAAACTATGAGGTGTCGAAAAGGTATCAACTGGCAGTAACAAAAGGAGTTTCCTCCTTCAGAAGTTCCATATGCAAATGAAATTACAGGTCCATTCCCTGTCTTTAATATTGTATGTAGTTTCCTTTGTCTCCATAGAAAAAGACATTATTTTTCTATTATAGGTTAATTTAAGCACTAGAGTCAGAGATAGGGAATGAGAAAGATTTGAAGGGGGAGGGAAAGACCCTTTAAATCTACTGAATGACATTTTCCCACATTCCTCCTCTTCTTACTCATTTCACTCCAAAAGGGAAGTAGAGAGGGGCTGATGATATTGAAAATAACATGCAATGAAAACTTGAACCAGCCGGCTTATAAGCAGGCTTTTAATGACTTCTGTAATCCTTAATGAGGAAATGGAAGTTGAGGCTCACAGTGCATTCATCTGGGGAAGGCAGTCTTGTAATTCTACAGGAACCTGTCATCTGAAATTCTTGTCCTGGCTCCACAAACCCTTTGATTCCTAAACCTTCCAGAGGAGCCTAAGCTGAAATCAAAGTCCCGTTGCTTAGGGTCGGTCGACATGTCAGACGTGGTCACATTTGAAAGGGTTCAATGAACCTGCAGATTGAGGTGGAAATGAGGGGCCTCACTGAACGAGTTTGGCACTGACTTACCTGCTCTGTGTGCCTCTGGATTCTTAGGGTCCTTTTCACCCCATTTTCTTTGGATTTCAAACTGTAGGCTTTAGAGACTCAGAGCTTTTTGCCTTTGGAAGATGGCTGAGAAGATTCTTTCAGATGTTTAACAAGGACATAGCAAGTGTGCATTTATAAAATGGACCCATTACCCAACTCATGAAGCAGGCAGAAGTTCATTCATTCATTCCTTCGACAAGCATTTATTAAATGCCTACTATGTGCTAGGCCCAGTGCTAGGTTCTGGGGTTACAAAGACAAAAACAAAAACAAACAAAAAAAAGAAACACTTGGAACAATTCCTGCCCTCAAGACCCTTACTTTTCTTCCTCTTCTAGTGGAAGAATTTTTTTTTTATGAAAAGCAAAGAGAATGAGCAGTTAGGGGCATAAGATTTTCACATTAGTGTTAGGAGGGACCTTGGAGGCCCTTGAATCTAACCCTCTCATTGTGCAAATGAGAAAAGGCTTGCCCAGGATCACACCACTATTAAGTGTCTGAGGCTGGATTTGAATCCAGACCTTGCTGTGTCCACTACACCAAAGTGTAATCTTATTGAAAGGATTTTCTTACAATTAAAGAAGTGTGTTAATCATGCCTCATGCTTGATTACTGCTGTTTTGTCAAAACTCAAAAAGAAATAAAAGCAATTACTGTTGGGCCATGGATTCATTTCTGCCAGGCTTTCAGTATGTTCTTTCTTTCATGATACCAATCAGGGGTTGAGAGACAGCTTGGCGCAGTGGATAGAGCATTGGGTTTGGAAGCCAGAAGGCCTTGCTTCCAATCACATGCAACCCTGAGCAAGCTGGTTAATCCCTTGGAGTCTCTGTTTCCACATCTACAAAATGGGCGAAGTAGCATACGTAGCATCTACTTTGCAGAGTCTTGAGCGTCCCAAATAAGATAAAACCTGGAAAGCACTTCACTATAGAAGCACTCTAGAAAGGGCAGCTCAGCTTTCTTCAGATGGCCTAGAAGGCAAAGGACCCAATAAGATGGTGGGGAAATGGGACTTGGTGGCTTCTAGGAGATGCCCTCATTCTTTG